CACCTCATCCTCTGTCGTCCACTCAGCTATTGAGCCTGGGAGCCGAAACTACTGACCCCACGTGTGGCAACTACTGGACTGCGCACCCTAGAGCCTGCGCTTGGCAGCCAGGGAAGCCGCCGCAGCGAGAAGCCCGCACACGGCCGCGAAGAGCAGCCCCCACTCGCCAAAACTAGAGAAAAGCCTGTGCAGCAGTGAAGGCCCAGCACGGCCATAAATAAAAAAATTAAAACAAAGAAAGAACCGAGCAACATCCTTTCCTCTATTAAAAAAGGAAGACACAACCATACTTAAAAACCGGGTACCTAAGCAGTCCGTGCAGAGAAAATGGCAGTACTTATATCTTCATTTGTTGTATGTTATCCTCTTAGACAGCACCTCTTGTCCCCAGAGATGTGCAAAGTAGGACTGTACCCTGAGCCCACTGCCGGGTGACCTGTTCCCCTCACGCAGGTAGTATGCTGGGGTTCTTCTTGTCACGCTATGAGGAACCCTGACTCACAGGGCCCTCAGCTGGAGGGAGCCTCCGTAGGTCCCTCCTGGGGTGCAGCCTTACTCCCAGCTCTCCTGCACACTCTAATGGGGCCTCTGGGCATATGGTTTGCAGGGTTTCTAACCTCAGCCCACAGGGAGGGAAGCTTCAGGGACGTCCCAGCCCAGGCGCAGGATCACAGTGTGAAGGCAGTGGAAGCCCACATCCTCCTTATTCTCAGGGAATCCCAGATGCCACAAAGTTCAGCGCGAGACGATGAACAGCGGGGCTCTCTCCAATCACTGTGGTCCGTTCCCGACAGAGCAGGAGCATAGAATCTGGATTCCTCCAGATGGCTAAGGAACTCAGGAGGCTCTGACACTCCTCAGAGCGGACACTGGCCACCACAGGCTGGGCCTCCTCCGGCAGCCTCTGATTTCTCCTGGCGTCTGGGGCCCTCTCTGCTGGACTCTGCCATCCACCATCACTCACCTTCACCCCCCGCTTAGTTGCTCAGTCGTGTCTGACTCCTTGTGACCCCTTGGACTGCAGCCCAACAGGCCTCCCTGTAATTCACCATCTCCNGCCAGGCTCCTCTGTCCATGGGATTCTCCAGGCAAGAATACTGGAGTGGGCTGCCATTTCCTTCTCCAGACCTTCACCCCAGGCTCCCCCAATAGACACAGGCCTCCCCACCCACCATCTCCTGGGCAAGGCCTGGGTCAGAGACAACTATCTGCCCTTTGGATTCTTCCCTGGCTTACTTCTCCATACTGTCCTTGCTTATCTTCTTTTTCTCATGAAGATTCCTTTAACTTCCTTTCCAACTCTTCACTGTATCATATCCAGTCAATTCTTCATGGCCCACCTCAAGACTCATCTCCCCTGGGAGGCCCCACCCAATTGCTATTGCTCCCATTCATCTCTTCTTTGCTGAATGCCCACAAACACTCCTTCCTAGGTGGCAGTAGGGGTAAAGAGCCCATCTGCCAATGCAGGAGACATATAAGACATGGGTTTGATCCCCGGGTCAGGAAGATCCTCTAGAGGAGGGCATGCCAACCCACTCCAGTATTCTTGCCTGGAGAATCCCATGGACAGAGGAGCTTGGCAGGCTACAGTCCATGAGGATGCAGAGTCAGATAGGGCGGAAGTGACTTAGCATGCATGCCCAAACACTCCAAATCTTCCTCTTCCGCCCCCTCCCAGTTCCTCCTCCTCTTACTTCCCTCCCCCACCCCTCCCGCTTTCTTCCATCTCTTCCTTCCTTCTAAATAAGAATTAGCCTATTTACTCATGTGAATGTTCCAGCTTTGAACAAATGGGGTAGATGGGGGTCCATTCATGGAGATAAGGATCTTAGGAAAAGAGATTTTGAGGAAAATGTGAGCTCCTGTGAGCATTCTGAGTCCAAACTGCCTTTTTGATGGTCTAACGATGTTGTCTAGGAGAAAGGATGGGCTGAGAACCACTTTCTACTGACTTGCAAGACTCAGCTGTTAAATTTCCAGGAATTTTAAACACGGTCATTATTAAAAATTAAATTGCATAAATTTACAATTAAATAAATTAAAAAACAAAGATAATAATAACTCAAAACTCATCACCACCTCCATTTTACTATTATCTCTGAGGTTAGATGTCTACTGGGTTTCCCTGGTGGCTCAGATGGTAAAGTGTCTGCCTGCAATGCAGGAGACCCGGGTTTGTCCCCTGGGTCAGGAAGATCCCCTGGAGAAGGAAATGGCAACCCACTCCAGTACTCTTGCCTGGAAAATTCCATGGACAGGGGAGCCTGGTAGGCTACAGTCCATGGGATCGCAAACAGTCAGACACAACTGAGCGATTTCACTTTCTTTTCCTTTCGTTAGATGTCTGTTGCATCTGCATGAAAAAAATACCATACCTGTGACGACACAACTCATGCCTCCAGGGCTGTCATATTGGAGCTGGAAATTGGCCTGGTTTGTGCTACTGAAATTATAAAAGTTGGCAAATGTTGTGAATCAAGGCCTTTCCCACTCTGCAAACCAGTAGTTAAACATTTATGACCATATCACTGTCTAAGAGGCAACTGGATAAATGAGTCTGGGCTCAGGAGATAAACCTGGGCTAGAGGTACCATTGGGGGAGGCATTAGAATCCAGATGTGGGGCTGCCTCCTGGGCTGGCCACAAGGGTTCACACCTGGAAGATCCTCGTGCTTAGTTTATTGTTCTGCTGCTGCCATCTTGAAGTTCTGAATTTTTGAGCAAGAGGCCATGTGTTTTTATTTTGCTCTGGGCTGGTATGGATATGGGAGTAGGGAGGTTTAGGTGGTCTGGGGGGGGGGGGGGGCGTGCTAGATTTACTGCCATTCTCCCCTCCCCAAACTGATTTTCTGTCTTATTTACCATTTGGCAGCCTATCTTCACTGATATTTTCCTCTCAACCTGTGTATTCTTAATCTTTTTTAAAAAAATTATTTATTTGGCTGCCCTAGGTCTCTGTTGTTGCCCATGGGCTTTCTCTAGTTGTGGCTGGCCATCTCTAGAGTATGGGGTCAGTAGTTGTGGTGCCCAGGCCCAGCTGGCCAGTGGCCTGTGGAATCTTCCCGGAGCAGGGATTGAACCCTGTGCCCCCTGCATTGGTAGGCAGATTCTTAACCACTGGCCCACCAGGAAAGTCGAACCTGTATTCTTGACAATCAGCTCACAAATTTTCCTTCCTCTATTTTCCCTCTGTATTCTCTTCTCTTTGGTCTTTTGAAAACTGTGAACTTTCAAGGCATTGCTGTATTAAGTAACTTTACTTAAAAACGCTTCTACCCCAGATTTCAATGTCTCATATATTCATCTCTCAGATGGTATGTCATGGTGGTTAAAGTGGTCCTGGGATCACAAAAAACTGTGTTTGAATTTTCCCATGTGACTTGAGGCTTCCCTACTTTTGTTTCCTCATCGGAGGGAAGAATGTTTACCTCTGAAGGCTCTGAACATTAGATAATCTATCTAAAGCACCTCACACAATGCACATGATAAGTGTTCAATTAATGGTAGTTATTTTGACCATAATTTTTGTTCATAGATGATGAATTAGGTACGGCGTGTAATGATATCTGCACGTGACACATAGTCCTGATGTCTTAGGAGGAATAGGGGAACATTGGCAGAGACGAGCTGGAAGATTTCACCTTTTTAAAGAACATTTTCCTGTTCCACAACATATATGTCCCAGAGTAGCTTGGACAAAGCACCCCTTGACCAAAGCTCTCACCCCAGCCCCCAGCCTCCCGGTCCCAGGCACTTCTTAACGCACCAGTTCAGTTCAGTTGCTCAGTTGTGTCCGACTCTTACCCATCCAGGGATCCAATCTACACAAACAGCATGGATGTAGGCTCTTTTTCTTGCTATAAAACTACACACGCACAGGGTAGGGACTCAAAAATGCTAGGTTTTTCTCTACACCGCGGTATCCCCCAACTTCTAGCGCAGCGCCAGGCACCCAACAGGCGTCCGTTTATAGACTGGCTACTTGATGCTGCGACCCGGGCTGCCCCTTCTTCCCCCTAAAACGCTCACTTTCTCGAGTCGCTGCCGGACGCCCGGGGCAAAGCCCAAGAGATCCGCGAGCGCTCCAGGCCTACTTCGCCGACTCCGCTCCCTGCGCGGGGCTGCAGTTACTATGGAAACGGCGGGAAATAACAACTCCGTTCCCCCTGGGATGAGGGAGGCCCGCAGAGGCAACGGCTGCGGGCGGAACAGCGGGAGCGACGCGCGGCCCCCGGCGAGTTCACCGCGGTGCCAGCCGAGCCGCAGCGCCGTGCCCCCGCTCCACCCCTACCCCCTCCCCGTCCTCCTGTGTCGGTAGGTACCCGGGCCGCGGGCGCCTCCCGGGGACCCCCCCCTCCCCGCTACCCCACCTTGGGACTTGATTGCGCGCTCCTGTTCGCAGTGTTCAAAGGATGCCCACGGGAGCTTCGCGGGGGGCGGTGCAGGTCTTGGCTGCGGGAGGGGCGGGGGCGAGGGTCTCGGACGCTCGACTCGCCTCTCTCAGTGCACTTTAGGCATTTATCTCCCAGCGAAGAAAAAGCTGGGCAGCTTCAGCGCAAACCCTAATTGCTTGATTTCGGGAACAAACAGGAGATTGAGAAGTGGGAGCCAGGAAAGAAGTCTCAGCATATTTATAATTATATAGTTGGCCTTGTGCTGTGTGTTCCCACATCTCTCCCACCCGGGCGCACGCGGTCTGCCTGTTTCCCGCCCCTGGCGCAGCTCCGGTACAGAGGTGGTTTACACCTTGATTCCGCCGGTAGCGAGAGAAACAGGTGCGCGCGCGCGCGGCAGAGGTCTGATTGGTGGTGCAGACTCGGGTGAACTACTTGACCGTGCCCGGTGAGTCCTGCAGCTGCAGGGTCTCCGCCCAGTGGACGCCGGGCGCACGCGGTTGCCTCGCGGTCGCCCACGGGCTTGTCTGTTTCGCGTTCGTTTCAGGACGCGACCCCGCGCCGCGCGTGTGCGGTGAGGCCGCTGGGGCAGCCGCGGTGCCTCCCCCCGGAGAAGCGAGCCGCGCGGGCGTCCCGAGGGGAAGATGAGCCGCACCAGTGCCAGGTCTGGGCACCTGTCGCAGCCGGTCGTGAAGAGCGTGCTGGTGTACCGGAACGGGGACCCCTTCTTCACGGGCCGCCGCGTCGTCTTCCGTGAGAAGAAGGTGTCCAGCTTCGACGTCTTCCTCAAGGAGGTGACGGGCGGCGTCCAGGCGCCCTTCGGAGCGGTTCGGAACATCTACACCCCGCGGACCGGGCACCGTATCTGGAAGCTAGACCAGATCCAGAGCGGGGGCAACTACGTGGCCGGGGGCCAGGAAGCCTTCAAGAAACTCAAGTGAGTCCGTCTTACCCCGCCGCGCATCGTTTCAGGGGGCGGTGGGCTCAGGGGCTGTGGCTGTCCTAGTTGATGGCCCTCAAAGCTCCTGCGGCAGTTGCATTAGAGGTTGAAAGCGTGGTTGGAGAAGAAAGCTCACTTAGGGAGCAGTAGGAACAGACTTTAAAGGTGTGATGATGGATGAGAATCTTAAAAAAAAAAGTATTCAATGACTAGCTATTTGGAAAGACTAGCACAAATGTCATGTTAGATATTTCGCATTTCCTGTTCTTTTTCTCTTTCTACTTTTTTTCTTGGGACCTATCATTTTATTTTTAATTTTGATTGGAGTATAGTTGATTTACAGTGTGGGAATCTATCGATTTGGTTGAAATAATGATTTCTTAAAAATGACTCGGAAAAACTGGATACGGAAATGTCACCAGTGGAGAAAGTGCTCTCTGCATATTCTCCTCACTGTGGAAATTCTTTAGACTTCCATTCCGAGTAGAACTGACCACGCCCCACTTTGTGTGACCCCCTCCTCCCAGCACCTGCACATTAAGGCCATTGCCTTGATGCTTGGAAAAGTTTACTGGCTTACTGTATTTGTCTGCAAGCCTGTCACCAGCTGGTTGATGGTTAAATCTTGAAGGACAGGGGTCGTTAGTGATGCCTGTCCCCAGTTCCTGGCTAGGAGCTCACTTACTGTGGGTGTTCAGTGCATTGGCAAACTGTGCCTTTGGTCTGTGAAGGGAACAGAGAAAAGACACAACTTGTTCTTTTGGAGGTCACAATCTAACAGGAGATAGACTATGTGCACACCAGTAATTTTAATGCAAAGTACAAAGGGGTGAGGGCAGTTAGAAAAGTAAAGTTATGTGGGGGTTGAGAAAAATTATTCCTCATGGGGGTGGGTACTGTGGGACAGGTAGAATTTAATATTCCATGGGTATATATATGTATATACATACATACATATATATATATATATATATATATATATTTACAGTTTTACTGAGGTAGATTTCACATAACATCAACCACAGCGGTTTTAGTATTTTCATAGTTTTGCAACCATCATCACAAACTAATGTTAGAACATCTCCGTCACTCCCCAAAGAAATCCTGTACCTTCCCAATTTCCCCTTCTCCCCTTCCTCTGGTAACCACTGATCAGTAGTGGTTAGTTTCTCTGTCTCTATGGATTTGTCTATCCTGGGCATTTTATATACAGACAGACCTTGGAGATATTGCATGTTCTATTTCAGACCACTGCAGTAAAGTCAGTATTGCAATACAGCCAGTCACAGGAGTTTTTTTGGTTTACCAGTATATATAAAAGTTGTGTTTAAACTATACTGCAGTCTGTTATGTGTGCATTATATCTAAAAAAAGTACATGCCTCATTTAAAAAATATTTTATTGCTAAAAAATGCTAACCATTATTTGAGCTTTTAGCAGGTCATAGTAGTAACATCAAAGATCGCTGATCACAGATCACTGTAACAAATACACTAATATGACAAGTGTGTAATATTGTGAAAATTACCAGAATGTGACACAGAGACCTGAATTGAGCAAATGCTATTGGAAAAATGGCACTGATAGGCTCGCTTTATTCAGGGTGGCCACAAACCTGATTCAATTTGTAGAAAAACACAGTATCGGTTAAGTGCAATGAAGCAAGGTCTGCCTATAAAAGTCATATGTGACTTTGTGTTTTTGTCTTCCTTCACTTAGGAAGGAAGTGAAGTATCATGTTTTAAAGGCCCATCATGCTGTAGTATGTATCAGTACTTCCTTCTTTTCATGACTGAATAATATTCTGTAATATGGCTATAGCACATTTTGTTATCCTTGAATCAGTTGATGGATATTTGGTTGTTTCACTTTTGGCTATTATGAATAATGCTGCTATGAACAATTGTGCATAAGTTTTCATTTCTCTTGGATATATACCTAGGAGTGGAATTGCTGGATTATATGATAACTCTGTAGTTAACCCTCCATAGTTTTTAATGTATTTTAATTAAAATTCACCTTGGGCCTCAGGATGGTCAAAAAATCTTTACCATAAAATCTGTGCTTGTGAATTCTGGTTTTAACTATATAGAACTATTTCCCTAAATATCACTAAATTTGTGTAATATACTTCCTTATGTGTTTGTTTAGGTTGAGTTCTAAGTGTTCTGATTTTTGTTATGCCAGATATTCTTTTTATGGGAGGTGAGGGATGTATTCGGCTTTAATTTCCCTTCTCTGAAACCTCCTTTAGTATACTTTGTCTAACTTTCTTAGGAAAGCACTAAATGAAACTATGCTTCATGTATATTACATATAGTGAAACAGATCACCAGCCCAGGTGGGATGCATGAGACAAGTGCTCGGGCCTGGTGCACTGGGAAGACCCAGAGGAATCGGGTGGAGAGGGAGGTGGGAGGGGGGATTGGGATGCGGAATACATGTAACTCCATGGCTGATTCATGTCAATGTATGACAAAACCCACTGCAATGTTGTGAAGTAATTAGCCTCCAACTAATAAAAATAAATGAAAAAGAAAAAGAAACTATGCTTCAAAGAAACTTAGAACTTAAAACTGAGAATCAGGAGACTTGAGACTGAGCTGTTTATTAGCTCTGTATCCTTGTGCATTTCAGTTGATAATCCTTGTGAGTTATCAGTTTCCTAACACAGAAAAGGAACATAGCCATTCCTACCTCACAGGGTTATTGTAGAAAATAAATGCTATGGATGTGAAGGTGTTTTGTAAGCACCAAAGTGTTATATGAAGGCAAGCATCTCTGTGTCCAGTCCCTTTCATCATATACTTCATTAATTTTTAAAGTTAAATAGCTTTCATATAAAGCAATTTCATGGGGATGGAAACCTGCTTCAGAATCTATTAACGGCTCAAAATTCCAGGCTCCCTTTAATAATAATTCATATTCTCTTTTGTTTATTTAGCATTACCAACTCAAAAGGTAAAAACAGGTACAGTTTCAAACCAAATAGAAAGTGCACTTCAAATCATTCTTTACACACACACACACACACACACACACACACACACACACACACATAATAAGAGACTTACATGGCTATTTTTGCTTTTCACTCACTCACAAAAACCCCAAGTTTGTTATAACAGTGTCCATGGTTTGTTTTCCATGCTGACAGATGAATAGTTTATTTATTTGTGTTAAAGTGGTAGTATCTATGGTTATAATGATAGAAGCCAGGAAGATTTAAATGCTGAATATATTTGCTGAATATACAACTAGCAGTTTTCAGTTTATATAACAAATTAGGAAACTGGCCGAACAAAGGGAAATCCAAACATATTGAGGGTAATTCATGTCAGGTAGACCCTGAATGATGCTGGGGAAAGCACTGAATAAAACTATGCTTCATATATATTGTATATAGTGAAACAGATCACCAGCCCAGGTGGGATGCATGAGACAAGTGCTCGGGCATAGCACTTGTGGAAGATAGCAATGGTGGGAAATATTTTTCAAATGAAAATGATCAACTTTCTTCTTGAATATCTTTTACTCATATTTCTTCTAAAATTTTTGAAACCATGATTAAACTTCAGGTAGCTATCAAACTGTTTATTTTATAGAAGAGACATCTAGAGATTGTTACTTACCCCAAAGTTTTCCTTATACATTTTGGGAATTTGATCCTACTGCATTAATCTGGTGGATCTGAGATGACTTTCCCACACATGACAGTTAGAATGTGTTGTTATTTTGTCAGAAACCAGTTCCTGAAGATTTCCAAAAGACCCATTATACGCTAAACAGAGGGAGAATTTGCACTGTCTTATGCAAGTAATAACTGTTTATGTAAGGGAAATAGATGATAATTTCTAGAGGCATGATTGACTGAAGTGTTCTATCCAAAAAACAACAAGATAAAACATAGCCAAAATTAATTCTGATATAAGTTCTTTGGGGGCATCTCAGCAATTATAGTAGTTGAGGTAGAGAGTGTATCTTTCTATGGTTGTAAATTAAATGCTAGATTTACATTTATTTTTGATATTAAAACATTTATTTAGCACCTTCTGTGTATGAAGCACAATGGGACCAAATCACAGTGATGAATATATAGCTTGGAAGTTGACAAAGGTATAAAGTTTTTAGGTTGTGCTTACGCTATAGCTAAAGAATGATCAGTAGTTAATGTATATAGCAAATAGTAATGGAGTAATAGGGGTCTCCAGAGGTTAACTAGTTCACCCATCTGTCTCTTAGCTGAACCACAGCCTAAACCATCCCACATGGCTGAGCATTTCTGGATCATTAAAGTGCTCTCCTAGGGAAAAACCTTTCTCAGCCTTTCACAGTTGTTACTCTGATGCATGGCATCTGTACAACTCTCTTTGGCCTAAAGTCTGTGATTCGTAGAACCATTAAGAAGCTTTATACACAAACTGCTCTATATTGAAATTGATATAAAAATGAGAAATAATGTATGCGCAGTAAGTAGCTAGCCATTGTGGGGAAAAATGTTCCACAATAGAACTATGTATCTCTAAGGCTTCAATTTCATTCAGGTTTAGAGTAGACATGTGTCAGCTCTGAAAGCTGTTCATGTGACTCTCATGGCTTTAAATTAGTAGCTATTGACTTTTTTGCTTTTGGCTTAAGCATTTCCTATGGCTTGCTTTGTTTTTTAGTAATTTTTATTTTTTTTATTTTTTATTTTTTTATTTTTATTTTGTATTAGTTGGAGGCTAATTACTTTACAATATTGTAGTGGTTTTTGTCATACATTGACATGAATCAGCCATGGATATACATGTATTCCCCATGCCGATCCCCCCTCCCACCTCCCTCTCCACCCACTGTTAGCTAGGACATGGAAGCAACCTAGATGCCCATCAGCAGACGAATGGATGAGGAAGCTGTGGTACATATACACCATGGAATATT